ACAATCCCGATCGCCGCCGATTGCCGCGACCTTTTTCCCTATTGGCTCTCTCATTTCTCCCCTTCCCCTCTTCTTTGTCGGGATCGAAATCACTGATCCCCGTCGACCGACCGAGGGAAGCTAGTTTTGGCCACGTTCCTAGAATAATTTTATATTTATCGGAACGAATATTCTCTCAACTCGAGGGGATCGAAATTGGAAGCGATTCGAGGAGAGGATCTCGAAATGAAATGACGAATAAGAAAAAAAGAGATTTCGAGACGATGGTCTCGAAGATAATCGAGAACAGGTGGATTAAATACGCGAGAACAAATTCAAACTCGATAGAAGAAACGAGTTCCCAGCTGGCAACAAGTTCTCCATCGTCCTTCCTTCCTTATATGTAACTGTTGCAACAACCGCGTACACGACTCGTGCACTCCATCGTTTCGCGGGAAACGCCTCTATGGATTTAATCCGGCGTGAACCGTCGCGATATTATGTATTCGTCGGCGAGTTGCCCGAATCGTTTTCCAGTTTAACCATTCCAGGAGTACGGGAACTTCGTACCTAGTGATAGCGCAATAAGAAACTTAGAGAAAGGAAGAATACGACAGAGATCGCGTTACATTATTGCATCGTTTTCCCACCCGAGAATTCTCAACCTGCGGACGATCGTGCATTACCGCGCTCCAAATGTTCCAACGTTTCCACTCGAGTGCGAGTGGAAAAACTCCATTTTTTTTGGCCGATTAGCGAGATCGAAGAATTTTATCAGACGGAGGGCAAAGGAAAGGATTGAATTTGACCATTCTCGAATCCCCGAGTTCTGTCAATGTCGGGAAATTCAGACCGTTATCATCCGCTACGCTGATCCCCCGCTCTCTCCCCTCGTGCCTCGCCGCGTAGCTTGAATTTCGCGCCACTTTGAACAGTCGCGACTTTTCCCCTTTTACCACGAGAACACTTCATGGCCGTGCAATTACGAGCGGTTGCGGAAACGTTTATCGCGAGGAGAGTGAAATTTCACGATGGCTACACGAGCGATGGCTTCTTTCCACAAGGCGCGAAACAGCCCCAATTTACCCGCGGCCAGGAGGAGGATATCCAATTTCGTCCTGTTTCTCCATCCCATTCTCCATCGGTATTTTCCTCGGTTGTGTCGCGAGGGCAGCGAATACACATCTTTCCTTCAAACAGGGTGAGAGAATCAACAGCTGTTCGAAAATTGGAGAGGATCGGTAAATAATAATTATATCAGAAGCAGATTTCGAAGTATCATCTCCAAGATGTATATATCTATGTGTATTCCGTTAAATTTAGAATCCGATATAAGCTAACCGGTATGGAATCGAATTTGGAAAACTTGGTAAACCTGTGGGTCTGTGTATCGTTTCAACCATGTTACAAAGGAGACTCGATCGATCGAGCTATAATCGATATAAATTCTTCTTGAACAGCTTCGCTTGACAAATTCTATTCTAGTATTATTTTCCTAAGAAAACTGACTTTTCATCTACCTCGCCATTCTTCAGATACACATCTCCAAGATACACAAATGTCATCAGATCTGACAGACTATTAACTGGATTATTAATTGGATCCTCGTCAAAAACGACAAGGCCTTGAAAATTGATCAAGAGAGGAAGAAAGAGAAAAAAGAAAAGAAAAGGAAGAAAAAGGGTCTCGGTTCAAAGTTTCGAGGAATTAAGGAGAAGCGATTAGAACGTAGGTTTCGAGGAAACCTATGCGATCCAACCGGTTAAAATCGGTCCCCTCAGTGAACCGTCGTCGATACAGCAAGTTTGACGATCCTTGGCCGCACAACCACCGACATCCACGCTCACCCGGGCAAATTTCACGTAATTTACGTGGAACAAACGCACAGCCGGATAACGAGCAGATGAGATATCTCCGGCCTTAATACGATCGGCGACGCCCTTAATCCTGCGAAAACCCATGAGCCCACCAGAGCCTCGAGAAACCCTTGGCGCGCGCCGAGAACGAGGACGAAATCGCGGGAAACGCTCGTAAAGGAGGATGCGAACACGTGCCTTACATACTGAATCCTCATCCTGCGCCAAAGCTCCTCCATACCTGCCTCATCTCCGTGTCATCGTATATATATATATATATACATACCAAGCGTCTCTAATTTCATCGCGCTCCATCCACGAGTAAAGAGAGATCGAACTTTTCTTCGTCGAAACGAACTCGAATTTAGGATGTTCGTAAACACAGGAGGCATCTTGTTGATCGACGCTCGCGAGTTAAGATCCTCT